CGAATCCGAGGAGCGCGCCTTGAGGCGTGGCGATCTGGGACGGAAGCGTCGAGGTGGCTCCGACTGCTACGGCGTATCCGGAACCGCTGGCATAGCCCGAGGTGGAGGCGGCGCCATCGCGGAAGGGGTTTGCGCTGGAGGAGGGAGGCACGGGGACGGGCTTGCGGAGCTGCTCGAGATTGAGGGGCACGTTGGGATTGGCCACCTTTGGTTTGGGCGCGACGAGCTTGGGCATGTGCGGCTTGGCGGGCACGGCGGGCGGGGGCTTGAATGGCGGTGCGGATTGAGACGCAGATTGCGATGCAGATTGCGATGCGTGCGGGTTGTGTTCAGCGTTGTCCGGGAGGTTGAGGGCCGACTCTTCGCGCACGGGGGTGAGGAGCGGCTTTGTGCTGGCTTCTGGCTTGGGAGGGGGCATCTTTGCAAGGGGAGCCGAGTGGGTGAGGCCTGGTGCGGGGGCTGCGGTGAGGCTACGCGGAGCGGGCGAGGTGATCTGCTGGACGTTGCCAAAGGTGGCTGCGGAGGCGCTCTGGGGCGTGGAGGCCTTGTTGGGCGGTGCGATGCGTGCGGGTTTTGTCTGTGTGAAGACGAGCTCCTTTGTGGCCGACTTGCCCTGCTGCGCCCAAGAGACGAGACGAAGCATGGCGAAGAAGTGGCCGGATCCTAGACCGAGCGGGGTGCGTTCGAAGAGCGGCAGGATCTCGAGCTCGTCGGCCATGGCCATGCCGCACTCTTGGCGGAGGTATCGGAGGCCATCCTGCTCGTCGATGAGGCCGGGCTGACCGCTGGGTGCGGGCTTGATGCTGGCGAAGCTGGAGAGGTAGACGATGTATTCCTGAGGCGAGAGAGCGGACTCGTCGAGGTAGGATCTGCGCGCGTTGAGGAGAGCGACGGTGGATGGAGCGCGGAGGGACGAGGCGGCGGAGGTGATTCGGGCGGGCGATGCGATGGCGATTGGTGGTGGATGCGACTGCGACATGGCTGTGTGCGTGTGTGTGCGCCGCCTGAGCTCGCGCGGATGCCAGCGTGTGGCGTTGGATGGCGCGCCTGGATGCGATGCGGTGAAGGATGGGTGGATGGCTGTCTCTTTGCTTACGGCGACATTCAGCGACAGCTTTTTTCGCGTACGATCCGATGCTGACGATGTAAGACGATGCTGGCCGAATGCGGTTGAGACGATGCGAGGATGCGATGCTTTTCCTGAGCGTGTGAAAGAGGGTCCCGGTCCGGATGGTGTGCTACGTGAATGTAGAGGTAGATGGTGGTGATGGCGATACTGATACGAGACGGTCCAGAGGGCACGAAGGGAAGAAGCGCGATCGTAATCAAGTGGACGGAAACGCAGCGTGGTGGTGGGGGGTGAATGATAGCGAGCGGAGAGATTGGGTGGAGAGGGATGATGTCGATGTCGACGTGAATCTCTCGAGATTCTGGCCTGGGCGGAGTGGATTCGGGCGTACAGCAGGGTGGGCGGCCTCTGGCTGGGCGACACTGCTTACTTTTCCGCTTTGGACTGCCAACCGCCGCGGTGGCCGAGGGCGATCGATGCAGCCGTTTGGCTGCCCTGCTGCGCTCAGTCTGGGCCCAAAAAGTCCAAAAAAAAGGCCCGGTCCATAAGCGCGATGCACCACGAGACACCGCCAAAAGAGAAATGCAAAAAGGAAAGGGAAAAAAATCAGCCAAATTGGATGGGCACGGCGAACCGGCTGCGGAGCGGACTGCGAAATTCGTCTGCAGCTGCCTTTTGCCCTACTGCATCCAAGCCGGAACGTTATGAAAGCCCGAGAGCGGTCTGCCCAAAAAGGTCGCCCAAAAGAGAGCCTCTGCGGCTCGATGACGAACGTATGCTGCCCATTTCGCCAAGCCGTCTGGGATTGTCGACGTGCTTCCGCGCAGCCCGCTGCTTCGCTCCTTGGCGCCTCTGCTCTCCCTCGTTCAAAGACTCGGTCGCAGTCTCCGATCAAGCGGTGAGAAGCGCTCGTGTCTCGCCTACGCCCCGTCGCTGGTGGCCACCCCCAAAATCAACAATCTTTTGAACAGCACCCCGTTCCCCAAAACCACTCTTCCTCATATCAATCTCGCAAAGTGTGGTCGCCGTGTCAAATCTCGATTCGATCCAGATGAAAGGTCGAAAAGGGTGCAGCAGGTGGGGCGAGGGTTCTGCAATGTTGATCATTTTTTTGATTGCAAATCTTCAGCTTTGGCCCGTAGGCTATGTTCCAAGCGGGGCTGCACCAGGTCACCCTGCATGTGCTGCGTCGTGCGTCGTGCGTTGTCGCGTTGGGCGTTGGCCGGTGCTACCCTCGGAACGCGCATTCCGGCCTGCTACAGCATCACCACGGAGCAATCGCGTCGCTCTCAATACCCGAAAGCCGCGCCGCGCGATGGCGTAAATGAAATCCAATTAAAAAAAGTCACCAAAAATCACCTCGCCCAGATGCGTCCGTCTCGCCCAATCAACCGGTCTGCAACTCGACGTAACCCGACAGCCACGGCCCGCTCTCGATCTCTCGGTAATCACACGTACCCGATGTACCCGATCTGCCGTTCGGACACTGTCACTTTGGCATTCCCTTCGCAACACACAGTTTCACTGCTGCTCCTCCGCCGACTTGGTCGCCGTGGTGGACGGCGTGAGCGTCTTTTGGGCCTCGTGCTTGGGCGTCGCCGGCGGCGTGTTTTCCGCGCTCTTCATGTCTTGCAGCTTCGGCAGCACGCCGGCCTGCTTGGCGCTCCCCGTGTGCTGCGCCTCAAACGCCTGCGACGCCGCCGTGAACGGCAGCTTCTTGGCCGCCGGTCCCGCATTCTTGAGCTCGGCCACGTGCACGTCTTCCGACAGCGAGTGCGTGCGGTTGCGACGCGTCGTCGCGCCACCGCTCTCGTTGCCGCTCATGCTCGTCGTGGCCAGACTCGCAGGAAGCGCAGACGTACGTCCCGTGCGGCTGCCCGCTCCGGCCCCGTCCAGGATGCCCGTCGCGCGCGTCGTCGTCGGCGACATGGCGCCGCCTTCGCGCATCAGCGCACGCAGGTCCTGGTTGCTCCGGTTGCGCTTCTCCGCAAACGTCTCGCCCACCCCACCCACGCTGCCCCGGCTGCCGCTTCGCGACCGAGAGTGCGTCCGGCTCCGACGTCCTCCACCCGACCCAGGCGTACCGGGACTCAGCACGCCGCCGCGCAGCCCGTTCATCAGCGTCTGCGGATTGAGCATGGAAAACACCGCCTCGTAGTCGCCCTCGTCCTCGGCGTCGCTGTCCGTGTAGCTCGAGCCCTCGGACGCGTCGCCCCACGATCCCTCGCCGTCGTCCTCGTCGCGCTGCTCGTCCCTCTCGTCGATCGCACTCTCGTTGGCGCCACCCTCGCGCGCCACGCTCGAGCCGCGCAGATTCTTGATCTCCTCCGCCGTCATCGAGCGCCGCGTCGACGAACGACGGCGGCGGCCCCATCCGAACAGCCGCTCGTCCATCCACTGCAGCGGATGGCTCAGCGCATCGTTGCTCGCGCCGCCGCTCGCATTCTTCTGCTTCCACACCAGCGCATCCCGCTCCGGCGCAGGCGGCGCCGCCGCATTCGGCAGCATCCGGTTCTCCGCAAAGTCATCCCACACCTGCGGCGCGAGTTCATCGATAAGCGCATGCATGTCGGCGCTGATCTTGGCGCGCGTCTGCTGCAGATCCAGGATGGTCTTGTGGTTGCCCGGGATGAGCGACACAAACAGCGGCGGCAGCGATTTGTAGATGTCGATGCCCACCTCGGCAAACTTGAGCGCGGAATACGACATGGTGGGCAGCACCACCAACGTGTAGAGCGGCATGAGCGCACGCGTGCGCGGCGACAGCTCGTACTTGTGCGCCAGCACCGTCGCCATGGCGGCGTAGAACGAGTAGAGGATGGGTGCAACGCCGAGCGACACCAGCACCTTCCACGTGGCCAGCACGTCGCGTCCGGCCACCTTGACCTGCGACGCCGCCAGCGCCTCCTTGGCCTTTTTGTGACTGATGATCTTGGCGAGGATGATGATGGGCGAGTTGAGCACCGCACCCGGCAGCGCCAGACCGCCCCACAGGCCCAGCAGGCCGAGGCGATAGGCGAGCAGGCCCAGGCTGCGCCATCCGGCACGCGTGGCGCGCTCCACCTGGTGGTCGCGCAGACCGGCGTAGCGCAGCTTCTTGTTGTACTGCAGCACCTCCTGGCGCAGCTTGACCACGCGCGGCTCGTCCTTGAACTGCAGATAGCCCATGATAAATTTGCGGTTCAGCTCCACCGTCTGGCCCAGGCTGAGCGACTGTCCCGGCGCGCGGTACAAGCGGCGACCCGCCTGCACCACCATGAGCGTCTCAAAGTCGGGCGCGCGCAGCGTGACGCCCTTGAGACCGTCGTAGACAATGTCCATCATCTCTCCGACCGCCTTGCGCTTGCCCTCGCCGCCCTCGTCGAAGAGGCCGACAAGCTCGCGCGGCACGTCGATGGGCGAGCCGAATTCGACCACCGCACGGCTGCGGAACTTGTGCGGGTGGAAGTACGACAGACCAACGGGCACGATGCGCACGTTCAGATCGCGGTTGGCCGACATGGCGCCTAGCGCCATGATGACCACACCCGCCTTGAGCGGGAGCAAATCGGTGCGGTCGTGGCTGCCGCCCTCGGGGAAGATGCCGAGGCATCCGCCCTCGGCGAGCTTCTCGTACACCTTGGCATACATCTGGGTCTGGTCGACAAACGGGAGGCAAGAGTACTTGCAGCCGACGCCGTCGCTGAGATCGTGGTCCACCTTGTCCATCGCCTTGGCCGCGGCCTTGATCGACTTTTTGTCGTGCTTGGAGGTGTCCTGCTGCGGCACTTTGCCGCGCAGCATGTCGAGGGCGCGGGCATCCTTGAGCTCCTTCTTGATCCTCACCTCGGTGTCGCTGATGATCTCGACAACTTCCACGGTGGCGTGTCCGCACGCCTTGGGAAGCATGATCTGACCCTTGGGCTGCAGTTGCGACTTGAAGGCGGTGCCGTGTCCCTGGAGCAGAAGCGAGTCGCCCGAAGGATGGAGCGAGATGTAGCCTTGGCCCTTCTTCGCGCTGTCGGCGGCTCTTGCGACGGGGATGGACTGCATGATGCGCGCTGCTGCGCCGATGAAGCGTCGCTTGATGCTCTTTTCGGCGATGAGGAAGGCGACCCTGCGACCGGAGGCACGACGCACCTCGGAGGCGAGCAGGAGCGGGTCGAGGAACTGGTTGTGGTGAGGGGCGGCGACAAAGATGACGGGACCTTCGCGCGGGACGCGCCATGCTGAGCGCGGGCGGATCTCGCGGAAGAAGAGGTTGATGATGATGCGCCAGAAGAAGAGCGCGATGTCGAACGCGATGTTGGACGCCATGATGTTCTGGGAGCGGAATACGCGGCAGATGATTCGAGCTACGATGGTGGGAACGAGGCGGTGGAGCGGGATGGGAAGCGACCTGAGCAGGCGGTCAAAGTCCTTGAGCACGGCCTGGAAGCTGGGCGAGTCTCCGGGGCGCGCGTGCGGGACGGGTTTGGGGGACTTGGCGAGCGAGAGATGCTTTGCCTTGCGCTGGTACTCTTTCTGCTTGGCACCGATCTCGGCGGCGGTTCCCTCGGCGATGGCGGTGTCCGGATGGCGTTTGAGAAGGTCGTCGGAGGGGAGATGCGCAGGATCGGTGTCGATGGCTGGCGGTTGTGGAGGCGGCGACGCGTCTTGGGCGGCAGCCTTGTGAGGATCCGGAGGTGTAGGAGTGGTGGCGGTGTTGGCAGCACGATCTCGGGAGGCTGCAAGAGGCGAGTCGGATGTGCCGTTCATTTAGGAGCTATCGGCAGG